GGCGCTCGTTGCAAAGGGTATCCAGGTCAGTCACCAGGCGTGCAAGCTTTGGTGGTGCAAGTATCGGGTTGTGCCTGGCAGTATTTGGGAGGGTGTCAAGGGCGTATGCCTCGCCGTATCGAGCGGTATGTCCACGAGGCAGTCGAAGACGAACAACGACCCGAACTACCAGCACAGTATGGGGGGCATCCCCGAGCCGGAGTGGGTTTACTTCGACGCCTTCTTCTACGCGCACGCGGTATTCGGGAATTTCTCGGTATTCCAGGATGAGAGGCTTGGGAAGCCCATTGGCTTCCTTCTGCACGTATTCGACACGCTATGCACCGGGCGAGGTATCGTCGCCTGGAAAGCCCACCTCTTCGTCCACCCGGGCCAGTGGGTGTATAGCAGTATGCGGTATTTGCTCGGTCAGCTCGGTATTCCCATTCACGCGGAGATCGCATCCGGCCTCTCCTACAGGGCCCTCGCCACCTTGGACGTATTCATTGCGTATCACGCGGCCTTCATGGGTACGGACCCGCAGAAAATGGCCATTTGGAACGTATCCCCTGAGGTCGGCCCAGAGATAAAGTATCCGCGTCAAGACCAGTGGTGGTGGTTGCCATATGGCGGTCTTTTGGTCAGAGCGACGAGTATCCGAACATGCTCGATTACCCGCTCTTGCCGGCGCATGTCGTGGCCGCGTTCGCACTGCCGTATGCGAGCCCCGGCTCTCCCGCCAGCAGGCGTATCGGCAATATCATTGGCCATTTGGGAGCGCACGGGTATCAGCTCGGCCCGCACCTGCATCAGCCAGGCAGCCGTGTACCCAAGCGTATTCGCGACGTCGCAGAGGACGAGTCGCCTTAGTATGCTTCGTGTATATTCATAGTGTGACTGGACCTGTTTGCGAAAGCAGGAGAAAGTATGAGCATTGCATGCGTCATCCTTGGGACTGTATAACAGCAGAAACAGACAACATTGCATCGCAGACGGACAGCCATCGGGACAACCATCGGGACAACCATCGGGACAACCATTTGGACCAGCATCGGGAAAACGATCTGGACAACCATAACCATCAGGACAACCATCGGGGCAACCATCGAGACAACCATCGGGACAACGATACCTTCTCTCTTGTGTCCTCCCACATCCCTCAGGAAGTTGCCCTAAAGATGTGACCGACTCCTCTCTCTCCTTCTCTATGTCTCTCGCTCTTTCTCTGCTTCATATCTATCATATGAACACATCTATCTCGCTTTCTGCTTCATCGCCTTCCCAGGAAATTGCCCCAAAAATGTGACCAACTATCTTGGCAGTGCGTACCATCTCACGTGTACCGTGTACCACATCTTCTCAGGTTGCCTCGCACATGTGACGAATCTTTTTCTATCTCTCTCTCCTCTGGCTCTCTGTCTTGCTCTCTCTCTCTCTCTCTGTCTCTCTGTCTTGCTCTCTCTCTCTCTGTCTTGCTCTCTCTATGTCATGCGCAACGAATGCACGATGCGGGGCACATGCGGGGCCCAAACAAGTGATCAACCTCTGCGGGTGTGTACTCCACGCCAGTGTACTATCCACGATCGTCCGCGCGCCACGAAGTGAAGTGTCCTGACGTCATAGGGCGGGAAGCTGGGTGTGGGTGGTTCCCTAGAGTCGTGTGGATGTTTGGTAGAGCTTGCATTGCCCCCCACGAAGTGGGGGTATTGGCTGGCGTCGCATGAAAACCCTGGCACTGGGGAGAACACTGAGCGTTCGGGTAAAATGATTGTTGTTGTTGTTGTTGTTGTTGCTGCTGTTTTCCGTCCTGGTGTCCGTCGTCCCCCCCGCGAACCCACCCGCTACCCACCCCGCGACCCACCCCGTCGACCCACCCGCGACCCACCCGCGACCCATCCCCGCGACGCCACCCCGCGACTCCACCCGCGACCCACCCGCGACCCACCCCGCTACCCAGGCGCACCGCAGACCCGCGACCACTGAGCGACCCACCCCGCGACCCACCCGCGACCGACCCCGCGACCCACCTGCGACCTACCCGCGACCGACCCCGCGACCCACTTGCGACCCACCCGCGACCCATCCCGCGACCCACCCGCGACCCACCCGCGACCCACCCGCGACCGATCCACATTGGTTTGAAGAAACTTATCCCGGCAAAGCAACCTAACAGCGATAAGATTCAGGTGAGAATCCAGTAGAATTCTGCTGTTCTCGCAGTCGCAGTCGCATTCGCAATGACAGTCGCAGTGGCAACGGCCTTAGGATCCAATGGAATCCTACGGATTCCTAAGGATTCCTGAGGATGCTTAACTCTGCCTACGGATTCCTAAGGATGCCTACGGATTCCTAAGGATTCCTAGGGATCCCTAAGGATTCCTATGGATTCCTACGGATGCCTCAACCTGCCTCAGTTTCAGCCTCAGCCTCAGCCTGCCTCGGCTTGCCTCATCCTCAGCCTCAGCCTGCCTCGGCCTCAGCCTCAGCATGCCTCAGCCTCAGCCTCAGCCTCAGCCTCAGCCTGCCTCGGCCTCAGCCTGCGTCAGCCTCAGCCTCAACCTGCCTCAGCCTCAGCATGCCTCAGCCTCAGCTTCAGCCGCAGCCTCAGCCTGCCTCGGCTTGCCTCAGCCTCAGCCTCAGCCTGCCTCGGCCTCAGCCTGCCTCGTCCTCGTCTTCCTCAGTCTCGCCCCTCCTCCCCCCCCCCCCTTCCCCCCCCCCCCCCTTCAGCCTGTCCTTGTCCTCGCTTCGGCCTCCCGTCGGGCCTCATCATCAGCCTCACTTCATTCTCAGCCTCAAGCCTGTCTCGGCTGAGCCTGCCTCGGCCTCAGCCTCAGCTTTGCCCTCAGCCTCAGCCTGCCTCAGCCTCAGCCTCAAGCCTGTCTCAGCCTCACTCGCCTTGCCTCAGCATCACAGCTCAGCCCTCACAGCCCAGCCTCATCCTGCCTCGGGGCTTGCCTCGGCCTCAGCCTCAGCCTGCCCATCGGCTTCAGCCTCAGCCTCAGCCTGCCTCAGCCTCAGCCTCAGCTGCCTCAGCCCTCAGCCTTCAGCCTGCCTCGGGCCTTCCAGCCTGCTCAGCCTCAGCCTGCTTCAGCCTCAGCCTCAGCCTCGGCGTGCCTCAGCTTCAGCCTCAGCCTGCCTCGGCCTCAGCTTGCCTCGGCCTCAGCCTGCCTCAGCTCGGGCATTCAAAATATGGCACAGGATTGGTGTTCTGGGAACACGAAGATCACGAAGTGGCCCACAGTTGGCTCCGGGCAATCAAAATATGGTGCAGGAGTGGTGTTCTGGGAACACGAAGAACACGAAATGGCCTACAGTTGGCTCCGGGCATTCAAAATTAGCGTGGGAATTGTGTTCTGGGAACACGAAGAACACGAAGTGGTCTACAGTTGGCTCCGGGCACTGAAAATGTGGGCTGGGAATAGTGTTTTGGGAAGACGAAGAACACGAAGTGGCCTACAGTTGGCTCCGGGCATTCAAAATGTGGCCTGGGAGTGGTGTTCTGGGAACACGAAGAACACGAAATGGCCCACAGTTGGCTCTGGGCATTCAAAATGTGGTCTGGGAGTGGTGTTCTGTTGGTTCCGGGCAGTCAATGTATGGCTCCTGGCAGTGAAAATGGGGAGTCCCCGGATTCCCGCGGGAGTCCCCGGATTCCCGCGGCACCTGTCTGGCATCTGCCCAGACCCCCCAGGGGAGTCATGATGCTCTCTTTTGAGACCACTAGAAACCTATCAGTCTTCGCTGTTAGGTAAATTCGGCGACTGCGGCGGGCTCGCTGTATAACTTGTGCAACTTTGGCGCCTGCGGCGGGCTTCTCCAGAGTCTCGCAGACTGCCGACGTCCCCACCGCCCCCCCACTCTTATCCGCATCTTTGCGGGGTGCTACGTATCCCGGATGATGGGGAAGATCAGGAAAGGGGATGAAGGATCATGGTCATGAGGACGAGGCAGGCCAGAGCAACCCCAGGATGCATCAGCGATGCTGCAATACACCCTCCTGTCGGAAGCCCCCCCTTTCATGGTTTCATCTAGGCGTGCTTGCTCACTGCTGGAAGCGCCCCCTCGAAAGACGAACGCCCCATGGGCCTGCCAATCAGGAGGGGCCACCATTTTGAAAAGGAGTTGCCTTGCATCCATCCCGCTGTTTTTAAGGAGCTCGAGGATTCAGGAGTTTATACGTTCAGCAGGGCGTCCAGCAATAACTCCGTTTCGAATCAATCGCCTCTGATCCATGCAACTGTTACACATCTTTTCGCATGTGGCCATTCAGCTTTTGGAGGTTCCAGGCCAGATTTCGCATTCTGGAGACGAGCTGCCGTCCATGCATGCAGCTGTTACACATTCCCGAGCAAGTTTGCTGACGTCCCATGCGGGGACAGCGTTGTGGAACACAATGAGCCGCCCTCCATCCGTGAAGTTGCTGCAGACTTTCAGGACGGATGTGCGCGGCGCTCGAGCGGCAGCCCCATGCCGAAGTGGACCAACCGCTCTCCATCCCTGCAGCTGCTGCAGCGTGTTCAGGCGTACCTGCGCGGGGTGAAGCCAGAACCCCCAACTTGAAAAGGACCTGCCCTGCATCCTGGCAGCTGCTACATGCTGTTATGACGAATTCGCGTGGCGCTCGGAGGGGGACCCTACGCTGGAAAGGGCCCACCTTCCATCCCTGTAGCAGTTGGACGTGTCGAGCTCCTGGGTCATCCGTTGTAGGAGTGTGTCGGGTGGAGCGCCTGGACCGCCCTGCCGACACGTCGGGTGGCGCCGCAGCGGGGAGTTACCCCTGAGAGAAGAATGCGCGAGAAGGAGAAGAGGGGGGGCACGGAAGGATGGACGGAAAGGGGTGAACATGAGGAGAGAGGGGGGTACACGGTGTCTTATTAATGCCGCGGACCTTTCTAAGACCATCCGAACTCTCCCTTTTCTCCCTTGTCCCTCGCTCTTCCTTCCTGCACCCCCCTCCCTTCTTTTTTCACGCCTCATTCAAGGAGGCCGTTGCCCCCCCCCACCCCCCGTCTCCAACCCAG